TTAAGCTTAGGGTTCAGGGAAGAGGGCTCAGGTCGCAAACAGGACCGCAATAACTAGAAAAAAGTTACTAGGAGTCTCTAGGGTCTAGGGCTGAGTCGAGAGGTCTTTGGGGCTCAGAGTTTAGATACGGCTTTCTATGCAGACTGGACGGTGAGTTTGTTTAACTTCTTTGCTCTTCATGGCTATGGGCTCAAAGGCTGAAAGATTCGCTTCACCCTACCCCCGAAGCTTCACACTCATCAAGCCCCGAAAACCTAAACCCTAAACCCGAAACCCTAAACCCTAAACCCTAAATCCTAAACCCTAAACCCTAAACCCAAAACCCTAAACCTCAGTTCCCTAATCCCTGGCCTGAACAGCTTATCCCCGTCGAGCACCCAGCGGACGCCCTCAACGGATAGGCGCGTGCCGCCCGGAACGTCCTGATTTCAGGGGGCTTAAAGCTGTTTCTGTTCCCAAACCCGAGTCATATAGGGGCCTAAATAATTGACCTATACTATTTTGGGGGTGTTCCTTATTGCAACTATAGTATAATATACCCCAAAACCCTATTCTAATTCTTAAGGCTCCTACATTAGGCTTTAGGGTTTGTTAACAAGGTTTGTTGAAACAGCGTTCTGGGTTTAGTGAGGGTGTTTAAAGCACCAGATCCCAAGACCCTAAACTCGCCCTAAGTTACCCTAAAACCCTAAAGCGCTGAAAAGCCAAAACCCGAAACTACAAATTCTAATGGTAGATTAACCCCTAGCCCTGCCTATACTTGTACTGTTCTGCCCTCGAGCAAAACAGCCCGCTATCGTTAAATCCGAAACCCGGGCGGGAGCTGATCTAAACCCATTTAGAGCGGAAGGGCCCGACCTTAGACCTTCAAGCGCCACAAACCCTGGACCCCAAATCCCAAAACTCTGAACCCTAAACCCCGAAAAAGGGCAACCCTCATACCCTATAGGTCCTATAACCCTCAAGCCCTGGAACCTTTAGCATGTTGGGGCCCACTCCAGAGGGCAGAGGGTTTTTACCCTTCGTTGAAAGGTTTTGCGTCAAGATGAGCAACGCCGGGGCTCTGCGGGAACAACAAAAGAAGCGAATGTGGGGGACCTTAATGATTAGAATAGGGTTTGGGGGGTATAATATACTATAAGCCTAGTAAGGAACCCCCAAACTAGTATAGGTTAATTATTTAAGCCCCTATGTTATCTGCAAGCAGTGAAGACCAAGCAGGAATGTGATAACGATCCCACGTATTATCTTGAACTTCTCTTCCGAAGCGCCTTTGCAGGTCCAGGTGGGTACTCACAATCATGAAAATATTCATAGCACTGCTGATCAGGAGTCACAGGCATGAAAGATGATGACAGCATTGTCCCCAAAAAGGGAGACAAAACTCCACCTTAAACCCTAAACCAGGTGCCTGGAGGAAACCCCGCCGTCTCAGCTCCGCAGCGACAGCGGCCATGAGCGAAGTACTTGGATGACAGAGATGCCGAGCCTCGGCTGGTGGGCTTTGGCTTTAGTGCTCAGGGTTTAGGGTTTAAGATTTAGGGTTTAGGGTTTCTACTAAGTTTAGAGTTTAGGTTTTAGGGGTTCTAGGTTAAGAGTTTAGGATTTCTGGGTTTAGAAGTTCCATCGTGTCTTTGCTGCTCATTACCTAGCAGCAGGAGTGGTCTGAGGTTCAGAGGTGGTCCGAGCTTCTGAACGATAAGACCAGCCGCCACCATCCACTCCACCTCACAGTCGCTGTAGTCGCGCCCAGGCCGGAACCGCATGGCCAGCCACAGGGAAGCCTTTGACAGGTCCCAGAAGCCTACTGTTCAGTGTGCAAGAATCTAAACAGGGTTTGGGGTACCATATGATACGATTATATATTGTAGTACGGACCATTAAGATTACACTATGACTACAGTCATATTTCAGGTCCCTTTTTGAAACGGTGTACGGTGTAGGGGTTAGAGCTCCAGGATTTTCGGGTTATGGGTGTCATGCAACAAAGGCCCCCTCGGTCGTTAACCCTTCCTTTCAGGACCATCCGGAAAAATCATCCATCCTCGATTTTTCGATTATAAGCGCAGGAGTTTACGCATCCGGGGTGTAGCCTCCTCGACTACTGCATGGCTTTAGAATCTTATGAAGAGTCTTCAAAGAAAGAGGAAATAGCTCAAGCTCCCAAGACCACGATTCAATCACTGAGGGATCCATGCGCCTCTCGTGAAAGTCCCTATATTGGGTTTAGAATTTAAGGGTTAAGAAGTTGGGCTAAGTTTCCTCCCGTTGCAGGAGATACAAACCCTGTGCCCTAGGCCTTCAAGCCCTAAGCCATGAAACCCAAAGCCCGGAGGCGCTAAAGCCGAAACGCTCGACCCTAAAACCCCAAATTCCAAATCACCAAATCCTGAAAACTTAAAGTTTAGGATTTAGGGTTTAGGGTTTAGGGTTTAGGGCTTTGAAAAGCCTTCAGCCGTAAAGCAACCAAACCACCAGGCTGAGGCGCACGCCCACAGCTGGTGTCGGTCACGGCCGGGCCACTCAGCAAAGGCCTCCCGGCCCTGGGGGAAGTAGACCTGAATTTATATATATATATATATATATGTATATATATATATATATGCATGCATGCATGCATGCATACGTACATACATGCACATGTGTGTGTAGATGTGCATGTGCATGTGCATGTGTATGTGTATGTGTATGTGTATGTGTATGTGTATGTGTATGCGTGTGTGCGTGTGTGCGTGTGTGCGTGTGTGCGTGTGTGCGTGTGTGCGTGTGTGCGTGTGTGCGTGTGTGCGTGTGTGCGTGTGTGCGTGTGTGCGTGTGTGCGTGTGTGCGTGTGAGCGTGTGTGC